ATCCAAAGGACCCCTGGGAATAAAGCAAAGCAGGGAAGTAAATGTCTGCTGCTTCTTTAAGTTAATGCATCACATAACGGACTAGATTCTCAGCCCATGTTAGCAGACTGAAGTCAGTGCAGAGCAATGTACTTATGCTGATTTGCACCAGCTGAACATCTAGCCCATGATTTTTAATCTGGCACTCTCTCTTGGAGTCTAACAATGTTCTATGATTATGATCCTGGTATTCAGCAAGGGGCCACCGAGCAGATGGAAGGAAGAAGAATAAAACCTTGAATCCCACCTCCGAGGAAGAGCAGAATCTTACCGGCAGCAGCCAACTTTCATCCAAGAAACTGGAATTCTGCAGGCAAAGCACAGCAGAGCAACTACTGTCAAGTAAGGAGACGAAGATCTCTGCGCACAGAGTTGTATTAAACACACACCGCTGTATTAAGCTGCTGCCCTGACCAGTTTATTACAGTACCTGCAGATCCAGGGAGAAATTCATCTCTGACACCACCAGCATCAGTGAGAGGAATGGCTCTGTAACAGGGGGGAACCAAGGGCTAACATTACTGCCAGATTCCTCAGCAGCTGCATCCTGACTTATACCCGTGACTCAGGGACACTGCAGAGGTCCAGATCAGGTCCAGATTTTCCATGGAACTAGTAGAGAGCATGAAGAATATGGCCTCCAATTTGGAGTTTTAAATCTTCAGTGCCATACTGGGTTAAGAATAACAATACTTGCCCAACTGTACAGCTCAACAATATTTTGCTCTTCTCCAGTGCCTTATAGCCAAGGATCTCAAAGCACTTTATCAACCTCAAAGGATTAACCTCATGGCAGCCTTTGAAACAGGAATTAATATCCCCATTTTAGAGCAGGGAAAACAAGAGTGACTTGGTCATGGGGTCACTGACCAGTTTACTGGTCAACCGGACTGAGACCATTGCAAGATCAGGGCCTAAGCTCCCAGAGCAAGGCTGTGAATGAGCCAGGAAAAGACTCCAGCTCTCTGCAGGCATGCACGGTAGGAGCGCTGTGCTAGGTCACGCAGCCACAGAACTTGGACCAAAACCACACAGCAAACAAAACTAACCTCATTGCACACAACAGAATTCTAATTCATCTATGGAAAAACAAGCAGCCCTCTGGACAGGGAAAGGGAGGCTAGATGAGCACACCAGCCTGTGGACACAGAGGGAGCTGCCGGTGGTTAGCAGGTCTTTTATATCTTCACTTCCGGAATGTTGGTTTTTCACCCCTGTCAGCTTTACAGCTGGTCAGATCCATGATTCTAAGGCCTTGTGAATGCTAGTCTTTTTTTGCAAGAACACCCACAGCCATGGGCAATATAGGCTAGTGAACGGGCCACATGAGTGGTCCCACTTCATTTCAGTGGGCCACAAGATTGTTGTACCAAACAGTCTCCCAGGATAGGGTAGTTTTGCTAATGGCACTTGTGTACCTAGAATTTGCAGGATGTGCCAAATGAACTGACTCACTTCATATTAGGGAAGTTAGCTATTGTGTAATTGAATAGTTGTGCAACTGCATAAAATATTATCAGTTACACAACTATTTGATACTCCCCAGGGGCAGGACTGGCAGCCCGTGTGCTCTGGAGGCAGCAGCACGGGGTGCCAGGCGGGAGCTGGTCCATGAGGGGAGCCAGTTTAAAAACCAGCTCCCCTCACAGGCCGGATGCCTGCTGCCCCCCACTGCTGGCCCTGATACAGAGGCAGCAGTGCAGGGTGGCAGCAGCCCCTGTTCATGGTAGGGGGGGATTTGAGCTCTCCACGGACAGAGGCTGCTCTGTGAGATGTGGAACAGCCTCTGCCCGCAAGGAGCTTGGACCCCTCCACAGACAGAGCCTGCTTTGGGGCAGCCTCCCTAGCCCTCCCTGCTCCACGCTGCTGCCTCTGATAGAGGCAGCAGGGTGGGGGGACAGGTGGCACTAAGGAGCTGGTGCTGTGGGGAACTGGTTCCCTGTGCGTATTGGCTCCCAACTGCCCCTCTCACCCTCCACACTTCTGCCTCTTTATCAGAGGCAGAAGTAAGGGGGTGGTAGGGCAGGCGGATCTGGTGCTGTGGGCAGCCTGCTTAGAGCCAGCTCCTCATAGGCACCGGCTCCTGTTCCCTGTCACTTGCTGCCTCTGATACAGAGGCAGAAAGGGGGTGGGGGAAGGAAGCACGTGTAGTCAATAGGATTAACTGATAAGCCCAGGTTTATTGGTTAATCATTTACTCAACTATATGCTAACACCCCTACTTCATATACCCTTGTTTTAAGTGCGTGTCACTTTAGTAATACTAGCAGGAAATAAAACTACATGAACAGATGTCCAAAATGGTTTAAAAGCCATTCTGTGACCATTATAAATCATCCTACTTAATTTTCCATATCTCAGGTCCCTGATAAAACCTTGTGATTGATTGAAACTGAATCTTAATGTCTAATGTACCTTCCCAGCATCAAGGCCACTCACTTCCTTCTGCCTAGACAATTAAACAGAGACTAGCTTTGCTCTCTGCTCTAGTTCTGGGGCTGTGATGCCTGGTCTGCAAATGCTGTGAGGGAGGGGAGGGGGAAGAGTAGGAGGTTTAGATCCAAACAAGAACTATTCCACTGGCTTTAAAAACCCTGAGTGTTACTTCTCTTCATTTTAGATTTAGTAAAACTTACAAAAATAAAACATCCTCACAAGATCAAAGCTCTGGATTTGAATAAAAGGAGGCTGATTTTTTCTGGTATCACGGATGTGCTTAGAGTCCTCCTTTGATTGTATTGTCTTCACCCCAGTTTAGTTTGCAGCTGAACAGACAGGGTGGAAGAAAGGAGGTAGGAGAATCCATATTTTACAAATGGGAAATTGAAGAACAGAGAGACTATATGACTTGCCCAAGGTCATAAAGGAATTTTGTGGCAAAGCCAGGAATTTAACCCAGTTCTTGGAGTTGCCAGCCCATCCTTCCTTTCTGTCCTGGTTAGAGGACAGAGTTTTCTTATAACCATTCATAAGCACGGTTATAGTACTGAAGGACAAATTCATTCACTGATATAAACTTTGCTGAAGTCTATGGAGTAACACGAGGAATAAATTTCATCCTCACTGCAAATTAATAATCTCATTTCATCACTTGAAAGGGTCCCATCACAGAGTCCTTATGCAGATAAAATTCCTAAGGAGGTGAATGAATAAGCAGTGCAGGATGGAAGCTATAATAAATCCAGGAACTGAAGGTTTTTCAGGATACAACACTGCATACCCAGGCTTTCAATCAGCTTCACTTCATAAATAGGCAATACATGTTTTTAGACCAACATCTCAACTACTTGTGTCCTTTTAAGTAACGTTACTGAATTTTGGAGGAAATGTTAACCTTACCCATGAAATCTTCATTTCCCAGCACTGAGATGAGAGGATCGTAACACTGAAATTAAGAAATGTAAAACAAAACACACACAGAGATACACATGATTTAGTTTTATGCCATGAACTGAACAACATGGCCAAAAAAATTTCTTAAATTCTACACTTTAAACTGCATCTGTGGTACAGGTTGAACCACTCTGGTCTGACACTCTCTGGTCTGGCAACATCTGTGGTCTGGCATGATCTTAGTTAGCCAGATGTCCACTTATCCTGGGTGTGGCCAAGTTTCCCGCGGTCCCATAATGTTTTTTTTACAGCCACCAGTCCTGACTCAGTGCTGTTATTTAGCTCTAATTTACCCCTAAATGTCCTCTAACAGCCCAGCAAGCAGTGGAAGTGTGGGTAATGCTACTAGACAATATTGACTTCCCGCGGTCTGGCAAATTCTCTGGCTTAGAACCAGTTGGATCCCAACGGTGCCGAGCTAGAGATGTTCAACCTGTGCAAACAGGGAAGAATGAACTCAAAGAAGTTCTGGGAGGTGGTTTTAGCCTGGCATCCAGCAGCCCAGATTTTTATTTGAATCCTGTGGAGCCTGTTTGCCTGGCCTAAAGAATTCAAGGGAGATTTCAGATTTTTCCTATTTTTGGCCAGGCTGCAGTTACAAGATATATCGGTTCAAGCAAAATAAATAAATACATTTTTCTCCTTAGACCCAAGATTTTGGCCAGTTCTTAGTTTAGCCAAAACTGGTTTCCCTATTGACCCTCATCATAAAGGCATTTCATGGGGAAAGCTCTTCCTACCTCCAGCAGCTTTGGAGACCGAACCAGCTGTTGAATGGCAGTAGCAAGTAACTTCTGATTTAAAGCTAGGCGCAGGAAGTACCGCCCTCGTCCCTGTGCTGTCAGTACCTTCTCACAAGAACTGGCTTTCTCTATCATGATTGACAAGGGGGTTACCCTATAAAAGAAGAAAAATTAAGAGACGCTAGGAATTCCCACTTTTCATTTCAGCTCTGAAGCCAGGAAACATTTACAGTGATGTCCCATTCCCAGGCTCAGGATGTCTTCCAAAAGGGTCTCGGTCACTCACTTGTAATGGGGTTGTCTCCCAAGAGCTGTAATTGTGCCAGTTTCCATCATGCCACCTGCCACAGCTCAGGGCAACTACACCTGTATACCCCCTTTAGGGTCCAGCAAGAGCACTACTCTCAGGTTTCCTGCTTCCCTGGCCATCACTTCGAGTGGAGACGTGTTTCACTCCAGTCTCACCGGGTTCTTTCCAGGTGGCAGTGCCCCCTGATCATACTGTGCCAGGGGCTGAGATGCAGGCTCGGTGAGGGAATTGGGTGCTGGCACTAGATTGGGACAGGGGGTTGGAGTGATGGCACTTACCTTGGGCAGCTGCCAAAACCTACCAGCACATCCCTATGGTAATAGCTCCCAGGCAGGGGGGCCAGGAGGTCTCCAGATGCCACTGCCCACAAGCACTGCCCCTGCCCAGCCAATGGGTGCTGCAGAATCAGCGCTTGGCATGGGGACCACGCAGAGACACCCCCTAGGCACCAGAGGGATGGAGCTGGCCACTTCTGGGAATGGTACAGAGTGAGGGCATACAGGCAGCCTGCCTCAGCCCCGAGTCATACCATCCTCTGTGCCCTTTTAAGTCCCCTGGGCAATTGGCCCTTTTGCCTGCCCCCTCTCAGCAGGCCTGTCCCTATGCAAGTTTACTGTGTTCTTAAGGTACAAGCACTGCAGAGAACACATATTAAGGAACTTTCACACATGCTAATAAGCTTACCAGAGATCCCCCCCCCCCCGCCACTCTAATGGCCTCTGGCAGACGCAGTCCTTTAAAAATCCACCCAAGAGGTTTTAAGTTCATCACTGCTACAGCTCAGAACAAACACCCAGTCTTACAGGCCTCAGTAGACACTGTCCTTCCATCCCTCCCTTAAGGATTGGGGGTCTCCAGGAACCAGGGGTCATATCCATTGGCTGGATCAGGAAGAAGGCCTTGCATCTGTTTAAAATTAGGCTATTTATCCAAACAGTCTTTCTTGGGGAGTTGGGCCTGGGGAAATCCAATGGCTTCAAAGAGCTCCTCTATGAACAGCCATATGAACGTTATCCCCCTCCCAGCAGAGGAGTTCCACACAATTCCAGAGTATCACACACCGCAGCCCATTTTTCATGCCACAGACCCAACATCTGTCCAGAATTCCGTCCTGCAAAGGCCACTCACAAGCCACAAGTATCCTGCTGAGGCAGTTGCTCTATCCAGTGCCAATAATCTCGTCTTTTGAAGCCCAACACTGGTTCTGAAGGAGCAAGAAGAGAAGATCCTTTAGGAAGGCCTTCTGACTGGGAACAAGGAGCCCGATTCCCCTGGAGAGACTGCAAAGGCAGTCAGTCATTCTGTCCATATGGAGCAACCCCCCCAGCCAACACAAACGATTCTCCAGGTATCAGCGGGGTAGCTGTGTTAGTCTAAGTCCTGTGGCACCTTATAGATTAACAGATTTATTGGAGCATAAGTTTTCATGGGCAAAGACCCACTTTGTCAGATGCATGCATGCATCTGACGAAGTGGGTCTTTGCCCATGAAAACTTATGCTCCAATATATCTGTTAATCTATAAGGTGCCACAGGACTTGTCGTTATGATTCCCCAGGGAGTTCGAGGCATCTGTGGTTCCTGCCTCTGCACATCCCTGACAAGCACGGCATGCACTAGAGATGCGAAAAAACAGTTAAAAAAAAGTAACCGTTAAAAATCCTAGGGGTCACACACACAGCGGGCTCTGCAGTATAAAGCTTATACTGCAGAGCCCGCAGCACAGCTGGCTCCCCAGGAGCAAGGCCGGCAGCCGAAGCC